ACACTCACAAGAAGAGAAAGGGAAACGCTGACCTCAGCAGACGTCGCGAGGATGATTGGATGTGTCAGCCGCCGAATGCAGTCGGTGCGCAACGCCGATTATTAGAAATTAGAATAGAAATTCAATCTTTTTTTTCTAAGCCACCGTTCAAGATACTGTATTTCAAATCTGGAAACAGGCATTTGTAGTCTTTCTTCTTTCCATTGCATGCAACGGGAAAAATATAATTGAATCCACATCTAGAATGGGCAATGGAAAGTGTGCCCTTTTTTTGGACCACCCTGTCCAATGCTCCCTTTTTTGCTTTGTTCATGAAGGCATCTAACCACCTCTTAAAGCTAGTCACGAGAGGGGCAGCCATCACTTAACGCATTCTACGCGTTCACTACCATACAAGTAAAGAGGTTTGTCGCAACCTGCCCCTCATCTGGGCTTTGCACAAGTTGGTTTCCCTCTCAGCCTGTTGCTGCCATGGAACTGAAAAAACCTACCATGCTCTAAGTCAGGGGTGTCAAACATCCGGCCCGCCATCTGTTCTTGAAATTTCCTCTTGGATTGACTGTTAGCACAAATTTTTGGGGAAAATCATGGGTGCGGCCCGCAGGCATCTGCAGGGTAAGGAATGCGGCCCGTCGACCGAATTGAGTTTGACACCCCTGCTCGAAGTTATAGATTCCCTTCATGATCTTAAATGACTGGATGCAGCCCCCTCGCTAACCTTCTCTCGAGCGAGTAGTCACAACACTCCTAAAAGCTTCCCATATGGACGTCCCCTTATTTCCTTCATCATTCTCGTAGCCCGCCTCTGGACCCAATCGAGAGCCGTTACTTCACCTGTATTTGTAGGCCTCCAAAACTGAACGTAATACTCAAAATGGTGTCTTACCAGCGCGCATACAACGACAGAATAACGCATGAGCTCTCATTGACTTTAGAACAGGGGTGCACAACAAACGGTCCGCGAGGCCCTTGCTTGCGGCCCGCCGTGACTGGTGGCGTCGTAAGTGCTACTATGACTCCCGCCCAGTTGGCTACAGCTATGGTCAGCCAGACTGAGGCCCACGTTAGATGAGTAAACATTGGAAATGGCCCTCACAGTATTTTGAGTTGTACACCTTGGCTTTAGAACGTCGAATGAAGCCTAGAAACCTGTTGCATTTAGCTACCGTCGCTTGCGAGTGAGAGTACTTGAATTCCTTATCTACTGATTCCTAAATATAATAATATTCCGAAATACGATACTGATTCCTAAATCTGTTTGCTTCCTCCAGTTTATCTTCGCCGAACTCATTTCAAAGACCAATTGTCATTATGACCGATGTGAAGACCCTTACACTAATTTTTATTCAACATGAGCCATTTCTTACTCCACTCGTACCAAAGCTGTAAATCCTGCTCGGCTCTCGCCTTGTCCTCCTTGAAAGAGAAACCTACTTCGGTGTCGACAGCAAAAATTTGCTTTTACTCGCTAGGCCTTGATTTAAATCTTTAATGTAGACCAGAAAAAGAAGCAGTCGTTTAACCTCGCCTTGGTGGGCACCGATTGCTCGCTCGACTTCCGTCGACACTTCTCCATTATCCATTACTCGCTGCTTCCTCCCTGACAGCCAGTTCCTGATCCAGAAACTCATCTTACCCTGGATCCAGTGCGCCTCCAATTCAGCCCACAACCTCATGTGAGGAACGTTATTTAAAAAATGTTGATGAGAATCCTACCTCCTCANTAATATGAAATAAAGCAAAACAGGGCATTCAACAACAAAAGCTAGGGCCACCAATAGATATACTGTAGGCCAGGGGTGCTCAACTAGTATTTGGGAAGGTCCATAAACTGATGTCCTGGAGGTCTGGTAGTCCAGAAGTAAAATTTCAGTATTAAAGTTGATGGTCATTATCTGATAAAGTCAATGAGAAGGATCAGATATGAAATTCATTGGATGGGGGCTGTCCATCTTCAGCTTAGAGAGTTCAAGATGCTTGACATGCAAATGATGATAAGAGATTGGAGAAGCTGCCTTCTGCAGCTATCCTATCACAATCCTTTTGTAAATCCGGCACACAACATCCAGATTCTGACTTTGAAGCAACTTCTTGAATAATCCAAAAGCTTGCAACGCCAAGGCGGTTGGTTTTTCCGTTTGGCAACGACGCCGGTGTCCGACAATATCATCACACATGGATCAAGGTTCAAGTGGAGACGTCAAGAGGCATTTCTCTCTATTAAGAAATTCCGCGTCGAAGTCGAGCACTCATGTATCATCAGACAGACCTACCCCTCTTGAATATAGATACTTTTGTAGGCACACATCCACATAGTGCCGAGTCACTACAGAGTCACTCAAAAAAAGGGCATACTATTCAATTCGCATTTTAGTGTGATGCTTTCAAGGATATTTTTCCGGTCACATGTAATGGAAAGAAAAAAGACTTAGCTACAAAATGCTTTTTTCAAACTTGAAATATCTTTAACTTTGACCTAGAAAAAAAAATTTAATTTCAGTTACGAAAAATCGACGTTGCACTAACAGGCTCCACCCATCATCCCCTTGACGGCGCGACACTCACAAGAAGAGAAAGGGAAACGCTGACCTCAGCAGACGTCGCGAGGATGATTGGAGGTGTCAGCCGCCGAATGCAGTCGGTGCGCAACGCCGATTATTAGAAATTAGAATAGAAATTCAATCTTTTTTTTTCTAAGCCACCGTTTAAGATATTTCAAATCTGGAAACAGGCATTTGTAGCCTTTCTTCTTTCCATTGCATGCAACGGGAAAAATATCCTTGAATCCACATCTAAAATGGGCAATGGAAAGTGTGCCCTTTTTTTGGACCACCCTGTACAATGCTCCCTTTTTTGCTTTGTTCATGAAGGCATCTAACCACTTCTTAAAGCTAGTCACGAGAGGGGCAGCCATCACTTAACGCATTCTACGCGTTCACTACCATACAAGTAAAGAGGTTTGTCGCAACCTGCCCCTCATCTGGGCTTTACACAAGTTGGTTTCCCTCTCAGCCTGTTGCTGCCATGGAACTGAAAAAACCTACCATGCTCTAAGTCAGGGGTGTCAAACATACGGCCCGCGGAGGTGGTTTATCCGGCCCGCCATCTGTTCTTGAAATTTCCTCTTGGATTGACTCTTAGCACAAATTTTTGGGGAAAATTATGGGTGCGGCCCGCAGGCATCTGCAGGGTAAGGAATGCGGCCCGCCGACCGAATTGAGTTTGACACCCCTGCTCGAAGTTATAGATTCCCTTCATGATCTTAAATGACGATGCAGCCCCCTCGCTAACCTTCTCTCGAGCGAGTAGTCACAACACTCCTAAAAGCTTTCCATATGGACGTCCCCTTATTTCCTTCATCATTCTCGTAGCCCGCCTCTGGACCCAATCGAGAGCCGTTACTTCACCTGTATTTGTAGGCCTCCAAAACTGAACGCAATACTCAAAATGGTGTCTTACCAGCGCCGCATACAACGACAGAATAACGCATGAGCTCTCATTGACTTTAGAACAGGGGTGCACAACAAACGGTCCGCGAGGCCCTTGCTTGCGGCCCGCCGTGACTGGTGGCGTCGTAAGTGCTACTATGACTCCCGCCCAGTTGGCTACAGCTATGGTCAGCCAGACTGAGGCCCACGTTAGATGAGTAAACATTGGAAATGGCCCTCACAGTATTTTGAGTTGTACACCTTGGCTTTAGAACGTCGAATGAAGCCTAGAAACCTGTTGCATTTAGCTACCGTCGCTTGCGAGTGAGAGTACTTGAATTCCTTATCTACTGATTCCTAAATATAATAATATTCCGAAATACGATACTGATTCCTAAATCTGTTTGCTTCCTCCAGTTTATCTTCGCCGAACTCATTTCAAAGACCAATTGTCATTATGACCGATGTGAAGACCCTTACACTAATTTTTATTCAACATGAGCCATTTCTTACTCCACTCGTACCAAAGCTGTAAATCCTGCTCGGCTCTCGCCTTGTCCTCCTTGAAAGAGAAACCTACTTCGGTGTCGACAGCAAAAATTTGCTTTTACTCGCTAGGCCTTGATTTAAATCTTTAATGTAGACCAGAAAAAGAAGCAGTCGTTTAACCTCGCCTTGGTGGGCACCGATTGCTCGCTCGACTTCCGTCGACACTTCTCCATTATCCATTACTCGCTGCTTCCTCCCTGACAGCCAGTTCCTGATCCAGAAACTCATCTTACCCTGGATCCAGTGCGCCTCCAATTCAGCCCACAACCTCATGTGAGGAACGTTATTTAAAAAATGTTGATGAGAATCCTACCTCCTCATAAGGCACGATGAAGGGATTGAGAGCTCGGGCACTGGCAACATGCACACTTACACGTATGAACGAAGGGTACTCTCAGGGAGCAAGCCGAACCGAAGAATGAGGACGGACGTCCACGAGTCCAGATTAAATATATATTTGAGATTCCCAGGAAGGCTCTGGTTTTCCCCAGCCGTTGGGCATTACCGTGGGGAGGAGGATAATTGACAAGATTTTATTTTTAGAAAGGGGGCTTGGCACGGCGCCGTAGCGGCGCATAGTGGTCCAAGCGCATAGTGAACATATGAAAGTAGTCTATTTCCAGTTGCGATAGCCTGCTTTGAAGGAAAAATGCCTTCCGCATAAACTCCAGCTACAATTTCACTATTCATGATACGGAAAATTTTGCAATTTCTCACAATTCCCCCCCCACCCCCCCCCCCCCCCCCCCCCCCCGCATTTGGGTACATGTATTTTGGAAGCGTTAGAAATCTGAGACATCCTGGCGTTCAAGAAGCCGATGAACTTACAACCTTCTCGCCGATTATACTTTAACAACTGTTAATACCATTTGACCTTGACTTGGGCGTGTTCGCCATCGCCATAACGAGTTTGCTCTGCTAAAGCCTTACTTGCGACAACATTAATTTTTTTTTAACATAAGAACAAAATTAGCACAAGAAATGCCTCATCATGGTAAACTTGGCGAACGAAAAATAGGTCAGTCAGACATAATCCATGTCTGCAAAGAATTAGTTATTTATACCCAAATTAAAGGAAACCAGTCCACTCTTGCTCATTAGTGTAATACCAGCGTTTGTTTGCAGGTGTAGCTAAACAGTAAAGCTAGGTACAACAGAACCCCATATTTCAGTGGTATGTATTGATACAAACGAAGTCATATTAATGAGTAGGTGACAGTCAATGATAGTCAAACTGCCTGGTAATGATGGACAATGCAGAGTATATCTTTAGATGATGCAAGGAGGAGTTTCAGGAAAGCTGTATGGTGCCAACAATGAAGCATCTATATACAAGACGGTCTGGGGTGCCATTTATGAGAATGGTGTGAGCAGGCTGCATATTGTAAAAGAAATAATTAACCAATTAGATGGGTTAGATGTTAAAAAAATAGACTCCTACCTCTAATAGGTGATTGGTATCCAACAAATAAATTCATATTTAAGCATGACAGTACTCCCTGCCACAAAGCTAAACCTGTTAGGCAATGGTTTCATTAAAAAAATTTTGAAGTGGCCAGGGAAATCCCCTGATAGGAATACCAATGAAAATTCATAGGAAACTTTTAAAATAAAAAATGGCAAAAGAATATCTGCAAAACAAAACTGAACTCATTGAGCCTTTAATCAAGGTCTAGTCTCAAAACCCTGAAATCACAAAAGTTATGAAACTCAAGTCAATTTAATCCGTGAAAGGTTTGAGGCAATCATTAGAACAAAGGATACAAAAGATGCCAAATTAAATGGTGAAAAATAGAGGATGATGAAATGTTCCATAAATGATGTGGTTTTGCAATCTTTCCTAGTTTTTCCCCCTCCCCATTTTAGCTGTTACTTTCTCCAGCCTCTGTAGATATTTTTAAATGGAGCTTATGTGAGAATTTGCTAAAGAGTCATCTCCATGGAATCTCATGATACAATCAGATTCACTTGAAATGAAACCTACCTGGCACATATAGACCTATAAATTTATCATTTCTTCCATGGTTCTTATCTAGGCAATTCATATTCCCTGACATGGAAAGGCCTTTTTCTCATACAGTCTTTTAAAATGACCTAAAGTTTACCAGACTGCATAGTGATAGCACATTAGGAACACTTAAAGTAATAGAAATGGTATCAATCCCTTTTTGGCCAGATTTCTTGCTTCCTAGGACCATGGCACAGAGGTATGATTATGGGCAGTATTTCATGCTTTTCATACTACGGTGATGGGGTTTGTATGATTATCACAAGAGCTGAATACTGTGGTATGATAATAATACTGATATACTCCACCACCTTGTATGGCTCAAGCAACATGAAATAAATCATTAACAGGGATGCAATTTCAACTCTACCTGCTTCCCGTCCAAGATCTTTTGCAGAAGAGGTATCAGAAATGCTCCAGTTTTCCCTGATCCAGTTCTGGCTCTTGCAAGGACATCCTTTCCCTCCAGAATATGAGGAATAGCACTGGCTTGAATCAATGTTGGTTCGTCCCATCCTAAATTTGATATTCCCTGAAATAAAATGATAGAATCAGTACTAGAGTTCAGGAAGGTGACTCTTTTTCAATCATTGTTCTGTCTGGAATAGGACAGTTAGTTGGTATGAGTTTTGTTTCATGATACCAAAAAGAACGCAATGTCTTCCTTGTTATCAGAACCCAAAGAACATTAAGTGGGATATGTACTGAGGAAAATGAGAAATGGTTTAAGTCATAAAATGGGGGCTTGGTGTTATCTCCTGCAACACTGGTTTGGGACCTCAGCAAACTAAAAGAATGCTCAGTTTTAGAGAAACCAATGGGATCATAATTATATCCTTATTCAAAAGGTAATAAATTATAACTGTGCATTCCTCACTTTTGGCTTCTGAATCCTCTTTCCAAGAGGAAAGGTGACAACAGCTATTTTTGGAAGGATTGAGGAGAATGTCACATGGGGTTCTTTATTGTGCAGCATGAAAGTTGAGGTCCACTCATGCTTTCCTATCATGCATGGAATTTGAGTGGTATAATTAGTCACTGTACCTTTTGCAAAATATTTTGTTTGTACTTTTATGCAGGGTCATAAGGTAGAAATAATATTTTTTTTAAACCAGAATCCATATATACCCCTTAACGGGCAAGTTTTTCACCAAATACATTTTAACCTATGGGAGGTAAGACATCTGGGTGCCTAACCCAGTTAAGGGGTTAAACCTGCACAGCTCCACTGCACTGAGAAGAGTAGAGATCATTGCATTGGTTGGTCTTTTTAAGGAGAAGAAAAAAGGAATAGTGCTGCATTCTGTATGCTGCTGCCCTAGAGCTGTGGTTAAGCCATTCCCATTCAACATTAGATTCAAGCATAAACCAGAAAATTAGGTATCAGACTTGCTGAAAGTCCACTACCTGAGTCTTCACCAGATTGCCCCAAGGGAATAGTTAACCCATTAAAATGTGAAGAGGTTGCTTCTGTGGTACAGACTTTCCTGGAAACCTATGTATTGGTACCATTTACATGACCAAACTCACGACGTATTCTCTCATATCAGTCTATTTCTTATTAAGCTGCTTTTTATTATATCCATTTAGGTTGTCTACTTTTAGTGGTTTGTTTTTGTTCTTTTTGTTTGCCAAGCTGCAATGGGCACATTACTTTTGGTCATTTTTGCACAATAGCAAAAAAAATGTATACATGAAAAATGAACTACCTCAAAATATTCTGAATGGTGAAACACCTCACTCCAAATAATCAAGTGTTACCAATAAATAATGCGAGGTCAAGACTGGAATGACACTGAGCATTGCAAGGGGAAGAAAGGACTGAGAAAGTGCAATATTGGAGGTTCTTGCTTAATCCAGCAAGAGGCAAGAAATACATGCCTGTAATAGTGGCCTAAGACCAAGGGTGTCATTGAGTTGGATTTTTCAACAACAACTTCAACACCAAATCCATAGTTTTTAACCCTTGACATGACAGCCATGACAGCATTGGCTATCATGGCACCTTCCTTCACTTTGAAATTTATTTTAAATTTCATGCTAATGGAAGAGACATCAAATTTGGTTAGAATGAAGCAGCAGTTTGTGTTATCCTTCTGTGGTTTCCTAGCAAAACTGGTTCTAGTTAACACTGGTTAAAGCATTGAAGACTTGAAAAATGACATTTTCCATGTAAAAAAATATGATGTCAAAGGGTTAATGGCCCTACCAGAAGTGGTATTATAAACATTTCCTTAATTGAAATGAATAAGTCACTTCCACCAAGGATAATGGGCATTTATAAGTAAAAACTGCATATCCCTTTCATTATGTGATGGTAAGGTTAATTTTGATCACAGTGCCATGTCTTAGGGTCGGTTGATGAATGAGGGCTAAACTTGGGCTACTTAAGCCTGGGATGAAACCCATAGAAAATGCATAAAGTAGCCCAGGTTTAACCTTCTATTCATCAATCGGCCCTTAGAGGGGCAAAATAGCATAGAAACTTCATAGCATATTATCTCCTTTTTGTTTTGATGCACATCTTCCTCCATCCATGAGTTCTAGAAACTGTGCCAGTAACTTGTAGCACTTCTTGTCATAAAGATGCAAAAACCATTGAATATGAAAGAATTCATATCATCCAGTAATATGCCCACTCGTGAGTTTAGGATATCACCAATGATTGTCTCTAACTGCAAAACTGCAATGTAGCTGGGTTAAAAACTCAAGATAATACATTGAAACTGTCTGAAAATATGCTTAACAATCAGTACATGCAAAAGCAGCACTCTGCATGCTTCCCAGTACCATAATGTATTTTATGCTAAAGCTGAATGAGGCTTTAGTCAGGTTAGATTGTTTTACTGCATCTTGTAGCATGAAATTGGTGAACTCACCAATAAAATGCGATCATCCAAGCCCATTTCATGGAAATGTTTATTTTCTTGAACTCCAGTGGAATTTGTATGAGGATTCTTGTCTTCATTACTTCCTGGAGTGCTAAGTGGAGCAGGTACACCTTCTTCAGTTTTTGGTTCACAAACCAATGAAGGCTTGCAGTGACCCTTCATATTTCTGTAAGAATACTTGCCATTACAGAGAATTACTCAAACATAGGTAAAGATTCTATTCCTACAAAAATGCAGTTTGCACCATCATGTGGCCTAACTCAAAGAGTTTTAATTGATGTCAGTAGACTTCTACATGTGCACCATTAGCGACTCTCAGCACATGTAACTGATTTTCAATTTCAGTCCACATTCACTGCAACATGTTCATAGTCACACGCAATGGCATCTGTTATCCTGGTCCATAGTTCAGCGATGTTTGCTATAGGTGTGTGATACACAATGTCTTTGACATACCCCCCAAAGAAAGAAATCTAGTGGAGTGATGTCCAGCAAATGTGGAGGCCACAGAATTGGTCCATCCTGGGACTGTCAACTGTGACATGCTGGAGAAGTTTGTGGTTCCACAACTGGAGGAAATGCAACTACAAATGATCTTTCAAAAGGATGGTGCATCACCCCACTGGAGCTTGTTGGTCAGGTGCTTCCTCACCCAGACATCTCTGGGACAATGGATTGGTCAGGGTGGGTCAATTCTGTGTCCTCCATGTTCTCTGGATGTCGATATGACAAGCAACTTTTTAACAAATGTGCATATGCAAGGCAAAATTGCCTCAGATACTTTTACATGTTTCTCTGAAAACATCTTACAATTAGCAAAATAGGTAGAGAAATAGTACAAAATCTGAGAACATGTTCAAAAAAGAAGCAATAAAACAGTTTGGATTACTGACCTACAAAAGCAAGTGTCTCTCATGCATTTGTGTTTCACCTAATGCTATTCCCTTGTTTTAAAGGACACAAATGAAACTAGAACTATATGTCATTGTACCTTCTAACTTTGTAATCAAGAGTATGTGAAATATGTTCCATCTTGAAAATTTCAGACATAATGTCATTTGACATTAATGTTAGGTAGTCTGGCATAAAACTTGAAGAAGGAAGTTTACCTCTCTAGAACATGATGTTTCCCTATTCCCTAAGGGGAAAAGGGAGAGCAGAAAATTGGTATTCTTTTTGCATACCCTAAGAGAAGGATACTATCAAGTCAAAACAGGAATGCTTCCACTAAGCACATCCCCCCCTTTCACCATCCCTAAAACCTTCGCTCTCAGCACCAAGAGAACGACTGTTTCATGAAGTTTACCTCACAAAATGTGCTACTACTTGTCAAGTACATAGGGCCATTGTATATGGAATTTAGGCCTTGGTCTACATGTTTTTTTTTTTTAAATCTCAATTAAACCCCTTTTCTCCTTAATGTACATGGGAAGAGCCACATATGGATGTTAAAGATATCTGAGAAAGTATCAAAGGCAGGATGAAAAGTTGGTAAATCATCTACTATAATGCTTGACTAACAGGTATGCCAAGTCATTCATGCAGGCCTATTTTGGTTAAGTTAATAGGCCTATCTTTTTCTATCAGCTCAAAAAATATGGCCAAGAATTTAAGTTGAGTTAAATGAACTCTGGTGAGCTGCAATGCAGGAATGATGAGAAGAAACAAAAAAGCATCTCTTCCACATAACATAGCCACTACTCACAAAAGTTAATGAAGACACTTTACTCAATTATCTTAATACATATTTATGATCCATATGCAGCCTTAACCCAGTAGTGGTTATATTCATCATGCAAACATACAGTGACACCAAAGAATCAAACACTGGTACTGACTCTTTCCATTCTTGGGAGGAGTCCCATGATAAGACAACATTTTCATCACCTCTTTTGGGTATAACACACCAAACACTAAATTAACTAATTGCCATGACCCAGAAGAACATTGCAAAAAAAGTAACATATACAGACCAAATTAACTACACTCCTTTAGTATTGAGCTGAGTGATTGAAAGCCTGCATGTAAAAAGAATATGTCTGCTTTTCAGAGCTTGGAAAATATAGGTGATTGAAAATCACAACTATTTTATTATCTAACATTCATAGAGTTTTTCACTTGAGCCAGACTTTTTTATACTTGACTTTGATTCATGCATTAGGTACATCCCCTGCATAAGTGTCCGAGTTAAGTGAAAAATTGTTGGACTCTGACTCAAGCGAAAAGCACTGTAAAATGGCATACCACCGTCCCTGTATGATGATGCCTCCACAATCACCCATTCAAGCTGGTATGTTCCAACAGAACACGTTCCCTGAAGAAAATTTAACTTTACCCTTAATACCTAGTTCAACTCAGTCATGCTGATGCATCAAGAAGAGCAGGTAACTCACTTTTAAGCCAAACGAAACTCCCAAAACTAACGACAATGTCACCAGTCATAATTTTTTCCCTGCCAAGAATCGGCCTAGTCCATGTAGACACTGTGGATGCTTTTAGAGACGCCAACTCAACAGACCTAACGTAGGCCTTTGGCTTAGACCAATGTAGATAGGCTCATGACTTAGCTTAACCTAAATGCTGAAATGCTCAGTGGGGGGAGAGGGATCTGCGCAGGATATAAAACGGCTTTAGTGGCTCTGGATATAACAATCCAAACGCGCTGAAGGTCAGCGAGGATGAGGCGGTGCATACGTCACGAGATAAAATCGCACTCGATGCAACGTCCGGCCTATCATAGGCCAAAATCACAAGAGAGACGAGCCGGAGCTGGCGGCAACGAAGTCCATCACGTGTCTACCACGAAGGCATGAGGACTGACACCTCCATTCCCTCAGGGTTGCTATCCCCCGCAGATCAAAAACGGCCGAAATCCCCAAAACCGACCAATTTACATAGAACACGGCCAAAGTCAGTCTACCATAAATCTATTGGGCTTGGTGAATTCACGCATCCTTATCAATTCCCGTAATTAGGTGTAACAAAAGCGTATTTGTATGGCCTTTTATGCAAAGTTTTTTTCCCGCCCTTGACATTCATTCTATACTGCAAAAGAAAGAGGCAGTCAGAAATTACCCGTTTTTCTGTAGAAGAATTAGGAGGACCGACCTTTCCGTCCGTAATATTAGTGTGGAAAAAAAAAAAGATATTACGGACGCAAACTTTCCAGTCCAAACCTGGGAAATCCCGACCGTACTTCTTTCTACGCAATTGCTAAAAGTATTAATTGCAAGAAATATCTCTGCATGATCTCCGTCCCAACATGTCGTTCGGTGGGTCGCAGCGTGCAATGCATAGAGTGCGGAGGCGAAAGCACCAATATTGCAAATTCTCGTCATGTTGTCCCCATAGAAAAATCCCAAAGAATGAGGGGATTTAGAACAGGGCTAAGCGTTCCGAGCCAAGTCATGCACATCTCAGCAGCATGTGACGCAAGAGGAAGTCACCAGGAGCGAGGACCGCACGAAAAAAAAAATTGGGAGGGAAAAGTAAGGTGACGCGGCCGGTGTGACGATATGCGAACCGATAAATAGAAATGTACCGTTTCGTGAAGGGGTGAACGATCGTTGAAGATTACCCCCGAGAACGGCAGAAGCCTCTGAATTTATTTTTGAGATGGACTTCTTGACGCATTGGCTGCCGTGAGGATCACCGGTGATGCTCAACAGTATCTGTTGAAATGATGCGCGGGAGCCGATGTATTACGTTTGAATTGAACATCGTACTAAGTTGACCACTGCAGAGTTTATTTTGTCAGTATTAAAGGTGGAAGGAAATGATGCACCAGTCAATATCAAGGTATTGGCGTGTCCCAAAGCCAATTTAAAATAAATCCCCCAATTTAAAAATAAATAAATAATAATTCCACAACGGAAGGGTGCCTCACGTTAACAGGGTTCTCAATGGAGGTTCACCAGGTTCAATGGCTCACTCAGAAGCAAGCACACACAGGCGGCCGAACGGAGACTTTTGACAGTCTGCAGACAACATAACTAGCAACGAGGCTGCCCGCGGTAGACGTTACGCGGGAGAGCGTCGGAGTATCTGAGGGGGAGGGGGCTGTTGGCGATGCTTGGAGGAGTGACCATAGGACTGGCCGTCGTGACGAGTAACGAAAAAAACGGGAGGGGCAGAAAGTAAGAGTGGATGAATGTCTCGGTAAGAATGGGGGGGGGGGGGGGGTGGACCGATGACCGTGATGTAAGCATGACAAGAGGGAGGCGAAAGAGCCTCCTTCTTCACCTCCCCCCTCCCCTCCCTCCACCGTCTTAGCATTACGTCATCCGGATCGAGCGCGAGGAGTACCTTTTACGTCCCCTCGCTCGGATTCCTCGTTGAGCATCGAGGTCGGGAATTCTCCGAGATCTTGTGTCTTTCGTCTCTCCCAGTCATTGGTCATCCGAACTCTTCCGCGAAGAACGGCAGAATCAAGCGAGCTCAAAAAGGAAAAGAGATTACGGGTGGATTTTTGAACAGAGAACAATCCGATAATGGAGCTTTATTTCCAGGAAATATCGTGTGTTTTCCCTGGAATAAAGCTGCATTCAGCTCTGTTCAAAAATCAACCCTAATCATTTATGCAGTCACATGGGGGAAGTGGAACCTTGCCCAAAAACAGAGGAAGTAGATAGGCATCGTCATATCATGTTCACGGAAAAAAAAAAACTATTGTTAGACAACTCGTTCACGTTCTGTGAACGCGATTATGCAAGCGAGATGAACGCCGCACACCATGAGAAGCAGCCAGCATCCTTAAAAATTAAAATAAAGAAATATATATATAAAGTAAACGGGAAGAGGGACCCAGGCCGACGACTTCTTGCCAAATCCCTTCCTGTCCTGGGGGCGAAGATCCATCCTAATCCCCGCGGGGCACCAGGAAGGCCAGGTCGAACCTTTGCAGCACTGTCTTTCGATGCCGAGGTGATCGGATGCCTTTTCTTAATCTCTCCACTGTATTTTCTTCCGAAGTCGCTTGTGTACACGTGTGGCGTAGAGGGCTGAGGGACTCACGGGCTTGGGATTTTAAAGCTGAGGTCCTGTTTCCTCGGGTCTCAGTTACACGTGATGTCCTCTCTCTCGTAACTGGCGGGCACTTCCCGGTGGCGAAAATTCCCAGTTCCTTCCGGAGCTTTTCCACTGCACGCTGGGGTCGGGCAGGTCGACAGCCGAGGGCTCCCGTGAGCTTCGGTTGCCATAGGCCGCCATGGAAGTTGCTCCTCGGCCTGGCTGGATGGATGGCTTCTCCTTGACTCGGCGGTTAACTCCAGGGTTGACCTTGTCGCGACGATAAAAAAAAAAAATTGGGGTCGAGAAGCCGCCCGGTTGTGTTATTTTTATTATCGTGCTATATGAGAGGTAACTTTTTTTTTTAAACATTCGTTATCCTATATACATTTTTACAGTATTTAAATACATAATGAAGCTGCGTGCGTGCGTACGAAGCCTCCGATTCAGCCCAATCACTGATGCTACGATGCTATGCCATTCCAGGTCATGGGCCAGAACCTTCCACGGCCTAAAGTGCCAGGCCTACAAGGCTCTGCCATTCTGGGCCGTAAAAACCTTGGTATACTTTTAAATCGATAGGACGGCCAGCTTTGCGGCCGCAGGCCGCTAGTAATGCCAAATTTTCGGCAGGCGAATTTTGACCTCGTCTGCGTATGATTGTGGGATCGCAAGAATTTCCAGCTATCTCGGTCACACCGAGAAAAATGTCGAAAACCTCCGTCTTAACTCATTCAACGACGGACCCGTAACTCTTCTCGATATAATCTCACTAATTGCTTTCCCCTCCTCCTCAGTTAATCGCCTTCCGGGGGATAGGTCGGCCTGACGACACGCGACGAGACGCCCCCGAGCCACCGGACAAGACCCGGATTGCCCGAGCGAGATGAATCATCTCCTTTTCCTCATCTTCATTGGGTCCGAACACGGACCAGAAATGTCGTGGCGTCTTAGTCACCTTCGCAGAAGGAATTAGTCCACAGATGTCTCACGGGAAAAAAATCTACTTGACTCCGGACAAAAAACGGGAGCCTTGTTGTATTCTTGACCCGATTCTCTCTCACTCGACGTTCCCTTCAAGGTCCTCTGTTTTCGAAATCCGCCCTCAAGTCCTTGTTAGAGATTGGTCCCTTATCACTCGAACGATCTTCACCCCCCCCCCCCTCATTCCTGCTGTACTCCACATTCCTTGACGTTTTTTTTTTCGTATCTGATATTTTTTTCCATTCATATTCGTTGGATGTCATGAAGTTTTTTTTTTTCCCCTCTCTCTTCCTCTTATTGCATCGGGACGTTTTACTCGACTTGAATCACCATGTACAGATTAACCGGTAAGAGGGCTTCCGGGGAACCCAGCAGATCGATCCACAACCAGTTGTTTCCTTGATTGCCTCATGGATATTGTGGATTTTTACTGTCTTACTGCGGGGGCGGGATATCTAGTCTGGGTAGGGACTCAATTTTCCCAGTCCCATGTGAGAAACGTCGGGGGAATGGATTGGGCGTGGGAAGGATTCTCTCAGTGGAGATTCCCGTTCGGACACAAGGGGTTGCGGGCAAAGGGGCATGGAAGGAAGCTCATCCGGGGGAAAACACGGCGAAATGTTCATGCTAGTCGAGTCGGCTTCTTCCCCGGAGTTCCCCGTTCTGCTCCGGGGTGGACGAGAGTCTTCTTCACTCCAGAGAGGAGTCAAATATCGTAAATTTGGGTTCGGTGTTGCTATGAGAGGTCGAGGGAAGTGGGGTGGGATTCTCAGTCGTGATCTCTGCCATCGAAATACCAATAGGTGTTATACGCAACACGCAAAGTCTCAGATAAAGGAATCAAACCTCCCTAACGAGGTATCTGTGTGCTGGCAATCTCAAGATAAAACAGGGAAAGCTTCGTTTGCGCTTTAACTTTGGAAACAAAGAGACCCAATACTAGAAGGGATCATCGACCTGTGACAAGTCTGGTCTGATGAGATAAGTTAACAGCAAAGGAAACGATTGGGCGTTCATTTTACGAAGGGAACGTTAGGGATGCATCCGAAATCACCAGAAGCCTCTGAATTTCTCTCATTCGTGGGACTCGTATTCTTTGTCTATTGGACAGAGTTTATTTTGTATCCTCACTACAGGTGGAAGAAAACGAGGCATCGGTCAATATCAGGGAATGCACGGGTCCCAAAGGCAAACATTTTAAAAAGAATTATTCCACAACGGAAGGGTGCCTCACATTCACAGGGTTCCCAATGATGGTTCGCCATGCTCAATCAATGGCTCATAACAGTAACACGTACAAGTAACCAGTAACAATAAGACTGCTCGTGAAAGTGTGTCAGATGTCAAACGGGAGAGAGCCGACTGCGTCAATTTGATGTCTTGTGGGGAGCAACCTTATGTTGTTTCCACACAGGGTCAAATGTTATTCGTAGGTTCGATATCTAATTATG